ACAAGACCAAAGACCTTGCATTTCATGAAAAACCATAATCTCCCTCATAAACATAGATGCATAATTCATAAACAAATCATAAGCAAAATATAGCACAGTGAAGATGAAAAGATTTATGGTACTAATGTAAACATATACCCTGTCTTCCAATCCAGTGATATCATCCATATCATTGTGGTGCATAAATGAGCAAAGATAGTGGGGTATTTCCCCAAACTGGTACTTTATTATGAGGATGAAGCTAAAAAATTCTATTTGGTGGCATAATGATAAATACATGATGGTTCTTATTAGTTGGCTCTTATTTTCTCTTTAGTCCCAAGCTACTATGCTAGGCATATTTTAATGCCCAATATCTCCTTATTGGTTTATTGGAAGGCCACCCTCATTATGCATGGACAATCAGGTCACAATTGGCTTAAGCTGTGTGATATAAAGAAGAAGGACTGGGTCAAAGGACTGTGTGATAGACCTATCTCTGCCGCAACCTAGACATATGACCTTGAATCTGCCCAAAATGGTTCCTGCTTTCCATAAATTTGCCATCTAGGAGAAAAGTCAAACATATCCATAGATAATTCTGCTATCAAGCAAATACTAACTGGTTTGGAAGAAGTAGGATGATACATGTGGAGAAATTGAAAATCTGCAGGATTCTTGAAAATTCTGTCTCTTTTTTAAGAGTCTCCAAACTATATTCCTTTACAGTTCTGGAGGTTAGAAATCTGAAATCAGGTTCAGTGGGATGAAGTCAACGTGTCAGAAGGGAAGATTTTTTTGTGGAATCTCTGAGTGGATAATCTATTTCCTTGCTGTTTTCAGATTCTAGAGGCTGCTCACTTTCCTTGGCTCCTGGCCTCATCACTCCAGTCTGCTTTCGCTGCCTTCTCCCCTGACTATGACCCTCCTGCCTCTCTCACATCAGGACCTTTACAATTGCATGGAGCCCATCTGGATGATGCAGGATTAGCTCCCCATTTCTAGGACCTTAGTTTAATCATATCAATAATGTTCCTTCTGCCATATAATGTAACACAGGTGCTGGGGATTAGGACATATTTGAGAGGCCACTATTCAGCTGACAGGGACTTTCCTAGTAGTGCAGACAGGAAAGAATCTGCCTGCAGGGCAGGAGACCTGGATTTGATTCCTGGGTTGGGAAGATCCCCTGGAGAAAGGAATGGCAACTCACTCCAGTATTCAGACAGAGGAGCCTGGTGGGCTACGGTTCATTGGGTCACAAAGAGCAGGATGTGACTGAATGACTAACACACACATTCAGCTGAAAACAGTAGTCCAGAGTCAGGGCGGAGATACAAGTGGAAGTCTCTTTACTTGTAGTGGAAGGAAGTCCAGAACCATTGATTTTTAGCAGGTATGAAGGTCAAGGAGTCAGTGTGAATGTGTGATGGAAGGAATCTAAAATTCTCTTAAAGGAGGTTTTCATAGAACTGTACTTTTACTCATGTTTAAGATGTTACAGTACTGTTGGAAAAGTGCAGAGAGAAGGAAACCCTTCATCAAAATAGCAAAGCAGTCTTGAAATGCAGAACATCAGAAGTGGTGAACCTGCAAAATGTTTAGGTGAGAGGTAATACGCTGGGAATTTGCTAGTAAGAACACCTTGACAAAGTGCAGGGTTATGGTTTGACTCACTGCTAAGAGTAATTCTATTTTCAGACCTGCTTATGATGCTCTTTTTGTGTGTGTGTCAGAGCCCACAGATATTTATGGCACATATGAGCTAGTAAACTATTAATGGTCAGTCTTTTAAATCAAATCATGCCTGACACTTTATGTTGCATAACTATTTTTAAATTGAAAGTAAATAAAATAACTTCACAGTATGTCCACCACCTTATTTGATATTCTTCCATATATTTCTTAATTTGTCCCTACATCATTTGATGATATTTGGCAATAAAGTAGCAGACTTGAATTTGAGTCCTGGCCCCAGAAAAAGACCTTTGCTTGACTTGTTAAGTATAAAGTAGTTTTTCCTGTTGAGGAAGACATTAAACATGACTTTGGTGACTATGAAGAGAGTTAACTATGAAGCAAGTTATTCTGTGATCAAATATATAAATATGCTGCTGCTGTTTAGTCACTCAGGCGTGTCTTTGCGACCCCCTGGACTGCAACGTGCCAGCTACCTATGCCAGCCTGAGGCAATAAGGGCAACTCACAAATGCCTTCTTTTGGTATAACCAAGATCATCTTTTAATCAAGTAGATTATCTTTCTGTAATCTATATGTGTAGTATGTAAAATTGCCCAGTAACTATAAGTTGAATACAAAGCACTCGTGTGTGCAATGACTTCCCGAGTGGCTCAGGCGGTAAAGCGTCTGCCTACAGTGTGGGAGACGCAGGTTCAGTCCCTGGGCCAGGAAGATCTCCTGGAGAAGGAGATGGCAACCCATTCCAGTATTCTTGCCTGGAGAATCCCATGGACAGAGGAGCCTGGTAGGCTACAGTCCATGGGGTTGTAAAGAGTCGGACACGACTGAGCAACTTGACTTTCTTTCTTTCATGTGTACCAAAGGGTTCATAGAGTTAATAATTTGTACTCAAGAAATGATGCTTAAGACCCCCCTCTTCAGGTTTCATTTACTTGCTAAAGAGGCTCACAGAATTCAGGAAAATACTTATTTCCACCACTTTATTGAAGAATATGATAAAAGATGGACCTGCCTGCCAGGTGGGCACAGCAACCCCCTCTAGTATTCTTGCTTGGAGAATCCCCATGGATAAAGGAGCCTGATGGGCTATAGACATGGGGTCACAAAGAGTCTGACACAACTAAAGTGACAGCACTAGCAATAGCAGTATGATAAAAGGTATATATATATATATATATATATATAAACATCCTGATGAAGAGATACATAGTTTGATATCTGATAGAGTCTCAAGTTCAGGGAATTCTGTCCCCTTGGACACCCAGAAACTCTCTGAATTCTATACTTTGGGGATTTTTATGGAGACTTCCTCATGTAGGCACAATCAGTCATTAACTCCACTTTCAGCTCTTCTCCTTTCTCAAGAAAATGGTGGAGTGGGGCTAAAAACATCAAGCCTTCATCATGGCTTGGTCTTTCTGGGGGCCAACCCTCACCCAGGAGGTATCTAGGGGCCCACCCAAAGGCATATTATGAGAACAAAAGACACTCTTGACACCCAGAATGATAATTACAAGGAAATTATCAGGAGGAAATTACAAGGTTTCGGGAGCTGACTGTCAGGCACTGGTGGCAGAGACCAATATATATTTTTCACTATCTCACAGAATCATATTGGAAGGTGCCCAAGCCTGATTTTCCAGATCACAATGAAACTTGTCAAAAGTCCCCCTGCAAAGAAGCAAAAATCAATACACCATGATTTCCGTTGATTCCAAGTTAGGACCTTGCATGCTTCTCAGGTACCCCAATTGTTCACACTGTGGACTGTCATACCCCAGTGACAACATCATAAAGGGTGAAGAGGCTGTAATAAAAGCAACAACAGATGCCAAAGATATGTTCTTGAACATGTACATTCATGACAGTATAACCAAATACATATTTCACATATTAAGAAAAATTAACCAGGTAGTGATTAAAAAATACAATTTCCTAAGTGAATATCCAATTCCACCTGCCAAAAAGGATGTCCAATGATGTCACAAGGGAATTTACTATAAAGCTCAAAAGGGCCCTCTCTATAAGGTACAGGCAAGACTCAAAGCTCCAGGGATCTGGAAGGGGTAGGAGGGGGCAAGCAAGTATACACTGAAAAAGAGAATATGTGTAGAACACACAGGAATATGATAATAGGCTACTTAAGATGACTTTAACTCAGGCCTTGGCTCCCCAGTCCCAACGTCCACCCTAAAGAATATGGCTTAAGCTCACCCAACCCATTCCTGGCTTCAGGTTGTTCCACACATATTTCTAAACTCTGGAAAATGGAGACTGTCTATTTTGGGCAGAGTAAGAAGCAATGTGGTCAAGATATTATACAAAAAATTTAAAGAAAATAAGGACATGCTTTGGATTTGGAAATATTGCATTGATCTGTCAAAATGTGTGTGTGTGTGTATGTGTGTGTGTGTACAGCATGGCCCATAAGTTTTTGTGAAGTTTTTCCAACTTCATTACTACAAATGCTACTAGCACAAAACATATCATTTAGAGGTTCAATTACTTACCTTTTTATTATACTTAAATTTTATAAATTTTAAATAATCTCTAATTTGAATTTTCATATCAATTACTCTGAGTGAAGCTGGCAAAGAAGGATGAAAACTACAACATATTATTTATGCAAAATTAAATATAAAATAAATTTCTATTTCTGGGTTAATGAAAGTAAAAGACTTATAATATGGGGAAAATAGTGGTAACGTGCAGCAATGGGAATGAATCTAGTGGACATCATGTTAAGTGAAAGCCAGACAGAGAAAGGCATATATTTTTTCTTATTAATTATGTGCAGAATCTACAAAAAAAGAAGTCGAACTTAAAGAAACAGAAAAGTGGTTGGCAGGGGCTGGGGTTGGGGGAAATAGGGAGAGGTGGGTAACAGGGTTTTGACCTTTTGCTATGAGACAAAAGTCTCAGGATCTAATGGTGACTAGAGTTGATAGCACTATATTGTGTAACTGAAATTTGCTGAGGAAGTATAACTTCAAAGTAAATATATGAGATGAAAAAAAAAAAAAATGATGAGATTGTGGACAGAGGAGACTCTAAGAGTGCAAATCCTTGGAAAACAACCAAAAATACTGGGAGAATTTCAGAGTTTCAAAAGCTATGAAATTGGTTGGCTCAAGCCAAGGTCTCCAAGAGATTTTAGGAACCAGTAAATATCTGGTCTCCTGGTGGAATGAATAGAAAATTGACTAATCTCTCGAAGGCCCTTGAGGGTGGAGGGGTAGAGCTGTGGGGCTGGATGGCGGGGGAGGGGCTGTGGCCTAGGCCTCCCCTCCCCCACCCACAGGAGCCCTTTGTGACAAGGCTGCAGGCTCTGTGATGCCAGGCCTGGGGCTTTAGTCCCGAAGTACAAGCCCTGTTCTCAGTTACCTGAGGGCAGCAGTGGGGTTCAGACAATGGAGAATCTTCTCTTTTCTCCAAAAAGCACTTTTGACACTTGGTTGAACTCCAGTTACACTGCCTGGACAATTGAAATCATCCTTGCTTTTCTGTGTGGACTGGGTGTCTTTTTCCTGTTCCTTCCCTACCACCAGAATAATCCATCTTTTCCTCCTCCTAGGAAATGTGGAAACAGCAAGAAGGTAAGGAACCCTTGGCCCAGACCCACAAGCACATGATTCTCTTTTCTATTATTATGTCTACTTTTCTGAACCAACTCAGGAGACTCCTGAGATGGGAAAAAAACAGGACATCTATTCTCAAGAAAAAATAGATCATTATCACTCTAGGGACAAACTAGGCTGGACAGGGGATCAGTGAAAACTAACTGTGAAGCCTAGAGTGAACACTAGGATTTCTATCCAAAGATCTCAGATCAGTAGTTCAGGTGTGGTTGGGTCTCCAGGACAAATCCCTGATGCAGTGACCAGGAGCCAAGAACTGGATACTGAGTTTATTCTCAGCCAGGAGAAGCCCCCGAACACAACCAGTTCCCCAGCTGTGAATGGGCGTCTCAGACAAGGGCTGATCTGAGGACAGTGCTGAGGGCCTGAGAGACTTAGAGCAGGGGGCTAGAGTGGGGCCCTGGCTTCAGGAAGACAAGACCTACCTGATGGAGCTAAGATTCTCCAATAGGCCTGAGAACATGCATGTTCCTTTAGCAGAGGAACAGTGACGAATGAAATCCAGGGTGGGTCTCACATAGAAAATCCTTCTCACATCTAGGAAATGTTTTCTAGGAATGAGCTCTCCCAATAATCAAAAGGAAACCTGGAAATATGTCTGCACAAATATATATAGGCACATTTATGTACATTAATCGGGACTTCAGCGGTGTTGGAATATGACTCCCTCATTAAAATGTTCATTTACTTTAGAATACTAACATAAAGATCAATAAGATCTGTTTTCTGCTTTAGTCAACAATGTTGTTGTTGTTGTTGTGTGTGTGTATGTGTGTATCTCTGTGAATTATTGAATTAGAGTTGACCTACAATGTTGCATTAGTTTTGGATGTACAGAAAAGTGATTTATATATATATATATATATATATAGTTCAGTTCAGTTCAGTCACTCAGTTGTATCTGACTGTTTGTGACCCCATGGACTGCAGCACACCAGGC